CCGCTGCTACTGCTGCTGCTGCGGTAGCGATCGGTGAAATTAATCGCTTGGCCAAAGATTCTGTTCCTTTTTTTCCCCCCCGCCCCCTCCCCCCTCGGGGAGGCAAGTGCTGCCCCGCTTACCATGGGGAGCTGCTGAGTACGCGGCTGCTGCTGCTGCTGCGATCAGAACCAGCCGCCCCGCGCATGACGGTGCTTAGCGGTTTCACTCCGCATTGAAGCCATTTGGGCTCTATTGAGGCTTTGGCAAAATGTGAGGTGCATTCCAATGAAATTGTTGTTTTATTATTTTGTTTAACCAGGTGAGGAGTCCAAGAGAGCAGGATAGTCTGATTTGCAAGCGAGACCTTGCCAGTAAGGGGGCAGCGATCGCTGTGTATAATCCCAATTGCATCATTTGCGGCTCCTTTTTTTGTTGAGTTCGGTATCACTCTTTTTTTATTTTTCCTCGCGCAGGAATGCGAGGGCCTACTCTTGCCAATGACGTCGAGGGTTTTTTTTTTATTTATTCATCAAAAGCAACGTTTTGCCAAACGCGCAGATGCACGGCACACTCAAAGGGTGCACAACGAGACGTGCAAATTGTGTTCGCCGATTTTAAACGCGGAGGTGGCGAGTCTATGAGTTCGGTGGCGGTCGTGGGATCTTTAACATCTGCTGTCGTAGTATTATCGCCATACACAAACTATTACTGCTCTTTTATTTTACCATGGACAGCCCACTGAGCTATATAGCTCTTTATTTGTTTTTTTACAAAAGCGACCCAGCCACAAATGACGGCTCAATGAAGTGGCTATTCACGTGGAAATTTATAGCAGCCGAATATTCTTAAACGCATGTTGATTCCTAAAATGTGTGGAGGGGAAAACCCCTGGGGACCCGCAGAAAATCCACACGGCAACGTGGAGAAACATGCAAACTCCACATATACGCAAGTTGTGGTCGGGATCAAACCCCCCCACCACTACCTCTCGCATACCAGGTGAGGTAGTCAACATCTCGCGAGTAACAATCGTGGCGGCTGCTGGATTCGAACCGTGAACCTCTGCAACAAGTGGCGAATGCGCTACCGCTGGGCCACGTTAACCGCTCTAGCCGTTAATCTATCCATTAATCAATTGAACTTAACCCTTTCCCGTTCTTGGACCCACTGCAAGTTGCAGGGTGTGTCTCATTCGCCACCGAATCTCGGAACGCGCAAGCGCTTCAGAATGAATTTATTTAGAGATCCATAGCGCCGTTGTGTTCTAAAGACCTTGCAGTCATCGCAGAGAACTGTCGCGACACGACTGCACTCTTCTTAGCTGCCACACGCCCTCCCATAGGGCCTTGAAGGAGCCTCAGTACCGATAAAGTTATTTTATTTAAGTTGGTCTTCCGATTCCATTTCGATGAAGTACGCGTACGTCACCATCTACGTCTAGATTTGAAGCTTTCGTGACTGCAAGGGTTCGTACTCTTTGGTTTTATTCGGTAAAGTCACGTAGATAAAATAAAACAAAATAAAAGAAAATAATTAAATCACGACGTTTCGGAGGCAACACAAGCTTCCGTCTTCAGGGGGAAAAGTCAACGCAGAATATCTGTGTTAGGAGCACAGTTCAGAGACGACCTTGGATTATATACAGGTTAAGGGAGGGGGGAGGAGTAAGTAAGGGGGCGTGAGTGGGTGGGAGGGCTGGGCTAAGCAGCCTTTTGATAGAATGCTGCGGGTAACACCCACTTCTCAAAGCTCACATCAAAGGCCCCCCCCCCGATATGGGCTCACATCAAAGGACCCCCCCCCCCCGATGTGGGCTCACATCAAAGGCCCCCCCCCCCGATGCGAGCCCACACCAAAGGGTGACTTTACCGAATAAAACCAAAAAGTACCATGTACATCATCGTAACGGATTCGATGCTCGTCGCGATAAGAGCATCAAATCGTGCGTCTGACGATCGATGCTTTTAGATTCGTATGTGTTTTAATGCAACGGGTTCGTGCGACCCCCTCCAACCACTAGAGTCCGCTACGTTTACAGCGGTGTTTAAAAATAAAATTCTAATAAGTCCTTGAATTAAATCGCAACCATAGATATCGTGGCAAGGAATGTAACTGCGAGGGGCGCGGATAGATACATCCATGCAAAATGAGCCTCTAACGTGGCACTTTTTGAGTCTAGGGAATTTCCAGTGAGTCTTAAATACGCCTTCGTTTGGCACCATAAATATTGGGCGTTTTTGTTGGTGAAGTATGGTCAACATACCCCCCCCCCCCCCCCATCCAGCGGTAGAGTGACAGTCTTGAGAATTGCTATTTATTATTATTAAGAGCCCATTGAGACCATAAGTCTCTTTTTCGTGGGAAATCTGAGGGTTTAGATAAATACAGCCAAAGAAAACTTGCGATGCGTAAACAAATCAACATCTGACGCAAAACCAAGTATAGATATTGAACAAGATAATGTTAACGTTTTGAAACCTTACCCACTCCCCCCCCCCCCCCCCCCCCCCGCGAATACAAAATGCAACGTTTACGTGATCCTGAACCGTTCTCGCTCGCATCCTTGGCCGTGGTTCTAGCGAGCGAGCGAACGAGGTGGCGGGGTCGGTGGGCTCCGTTCACGGTGACGGCCCAACTTGTCTCTGCTCGAAATGTCTGTGGCCACATCAACTCCACACGCACAGGAGCCCTCGGTGCGCCGGGTACCACCTGTCAGCTCGCTACGCCGCCAGAATAAACGCGATAATTGCAGCACTGCCAACCTCCCCCTTCTCCCGCTCGCCCAGCCCTGCTAATTGAAGGCAGGTGCTCTCCCAAAGGGCGAGCTGGATACCCACAAAGTATATGTGCGTAGGACGCCAGGCTTTTCCGAACTCCAGTCGGCGCGACCTGCCACGCTCCGTCTTTCTCTCTTACTCTCTCTCTCTCTCCCTCTTCGCCCGCGGCGTTCACCACTTGACTCCCCGTTCAAATACAAATTACACGGTCGTCCCACGCTGCGCGCGCCCGATAATTGTTAAACACGTGCCACTTGCCTCGACGAAGCAGCTCTCGCTTGTCTGCATCGTGTGGAACATGGCGTACGTGCTCACACACACACACACGTGGAATCACACAGACTTCAAACGTTATTCGAATCGACTCTATTTCACGTGGTGTTAATTCGTATTTAAATGGCGAGAAAATTTTGTGGAGAAAACCCGGAGTTAGGGGGACGCCTGGCCTGGACTAGCATTCTCTGGCGAGGATCGACCGTGGGGATGGAATCGTGGCTCCAGTTCCGCAGAGGAAACTCGCTCCGCCCCGGGTTTTCCGGCAGTTTACGGGAAACCGTTTTTGCAAAGGTACATCAAGCAGCTGGGGCGTAATCTTGGATCAGAATTATCGAAGGCGCATATTCCTCCAACATGCAATTCGACCTTTAAAGTTGGCCTAATCAGATTTCTGCTACTTAGTGCGTACCGCTAGATTATATTTGTTGATGACTTTAATTTTTTTGTGGGGGGGGGGGGGGGGGCGTGTAATTTTAGTGATCTTATAAACAATCTTTTAAAAGGGGGAATTGATGGAGTCACCAGCTTGGCTTGTTGTGGGGGACAACAGTAACAGCAGCAGCGGCGAATGCACGCACAGGGCACCACCGATACAGTCCCCTGAAGTCGCAGCACGGAGCTGGTTTGAACCATCAAGGTCAATCGTCGCGGTGGTGAGATGTTAACTCCCTCGCCTGATATACAGGAGGTCGTGGATTTGATTCCCGACCCTGACGCCTGTGTATTTGAAGTGTGCGTGTCTCTCTCGCCCCGTGGTCGCGTGGATTTTGCTCTAGATTCCTCCGGTGTTGCCCTCCATTTAGAATCGCATACTTTTAGAGTGTTTGGCCGCTGTACATTTCCACGTGATAAGCCACTTTGTTGGGCTATCATTTATGGCCAGGTAGATGCGGAAAAAGAGGCAAATAGCTCCGTAGTTTTAAATCAGCCTCGTGCGTGTTGAGATTGATAACATAATCATAAAGACAATGGATACGTCAGCTCGTTATTTAGACAATGGTAAATATGGGATTGCAGACACTGGCTAATCAATGTCACCACCCTCTCAGTACTGTCGCTATTTTCATTTAAACATTTATGCTGAGAAGATGCGAGTCACAAGATGGCTGTAGATGCCTGTGGGGAAAACTACATCGACCACAATTACAATAACTGGGTCCAACATTTTTTTTATTATCTACACGTAATAATTGTTGTGACCTGAAGTGGGATATATTTATCAAAGGAGATATACGTATTTTTTTATCCATCTCGAATTTCCAAACTATTTTCAATGAAAGATGTTTTTACTTTTAAAAACAAAAATGTGTCGCGTATAATTGTAACCACAGTGGTGTATGACCATTGACCCAATGTTGCCCTCGCCTGAAACTCTTGCGCCAGTCCTGTTTCCCTTACCCAGCCCAGACACTGGAACCCAGAACCAGTTCCCAGGATATAGTGGCATAGCCTGGCTGGCAAGGGCCCCCGTGCGAGGAATAAAATGGGTCCCCACCCGCCTGTCCAAATCCCCCACCCCCATCCCCCCAACTCCACTTGGCCTGGCGTCTAGACCCCTCTGGCCCTTGATCCACGGTGCGCTTTCACCACCTGCACAGCTGATAGCGTTAACACTGCCACAGCACCCCAACCCCGAGTCTGAGTTCCCAATCCGTGGAACCAGGAGTCCTGAGCTCCTCTGACTCAGCCTTTGCCAGTCCAGGCTCCTACCTCCTCTCTCCAGTGTCCAGACTCCAGCAACTCCATACTCCTGACTCTAGAATCCAGACTCCAGAGTCTCCAAGACCCCATTGTCCAGGTCTGGACACCCGGCACCGGATTTTGTCGTCGTAGGTGGTGGTGGTGGTGGCAGCGTTCGGGGAACTGCAGACGGCGCGAGGAGCTCACTCCTCTCCCCGGGCTCTCTCTCTCCCTCTCGCTCTCCCCGCTGCTATCCCCCTTGCCTCCTCCTCCGGCGGTGCGCAGAGCGAGCGTCGGACAGCGGACGGCGAGCAGGCCCGAGGCGGACGGCAGCGATGGTTCCCTGCGGCTGGCTCATCCTCTTCACCTGCCTGGTGCCCCTCGCCTCGGCAGGTGCGTGTGCCCGCTCGTAGGCGGGGGGAGGTGGGGGGGGGCGGGGGGGTGTCGTCGCCGGTAGAAATCCGCGGCAGCTCCCGAGTGACGCCGTACGGATGGATGGACGTGAGGACCCAAGCCTCCATCTCTATTTCTCTTCCCCCCCCCCCCCCCTCTCTTCCCACCCCGAGTTCTGAGTTCCCACACCCGGCGATGCTGTTGTAGATTGGGGGGCACCATCTCTTGGACCCCCCCCCTCCCCCCCCCGGTAAGAACGGAAGTGCTGACCAGGCTACCCGACCCCAGACGACGTCACCGCTTTTAGTTTGGGGGGTGGGGGGGTATAAGAAGTCGCCTCTGGGTCTCGCTGAGTTGTGTAACCGTGGGAGGGTGGAAGGGGGGGGTGTTGTTTGTGGTGGTGGTGGTTGTGGTCAATGGTGGTGGGAGGATGTGGGGCAGTGTTACCAACTCAGAGGGGTTATTCTTCTACTTCTGGAGGTTTATTTTGCATTGAGGGATTTCACGGGGAAACAAGTTGCTTTTTAGATGTCGACTTTATTTGTTTAAGCTTCTATGGGATTTTTTTTTACCGGATGGTTGGAATGTGTTTTGTCAGCGCATTGTTTAGTTGGCTACTTTGGGTGAGTTTTCTTTTTAGAGGAATCCTAATAATCCATGTTGTTCTTATTTGGCGACAATCTGCAAGTACTTCCAGCAAATGTCTGAAAGTTTGTGCTCATTAGTGTGCGGGAAAGTTCATCTCGCCCAGATCGGAGCGGCGGGGCAAAACTCACGTGGATAGGTGTGTGGCCCAACTGTCATGGCTTTTGAGTTGCTTACAGGAGAGTGCAGACACTCCCACACATATAAACACTCACTCGCAACAGACACACTTGAATGCCGATTTGGTAAAAAAAAAATCTGAGTGACTTAGCAGGAACGTTTGGTAGCATAAAGGAAGTTTTTTTTTTTTTAAAGGCTGAAATCAAATCATGGCTGACTAAACACACCGGTGTTGAATCTGTCGCTTAAGGGGTGATAGGCAGGATGCCCTTGTCCGTGAGTGTTGAAGTTGTTGCCCTGGCTGCGGGAGGTGACCCGAGTTGGGAGAACGCAGTTCGATACGGAACACTGGCTGACTGAGGTGATGAGGACGGTCAAGGTCTGCGCATTAGAATGGGGAGCGGCAATGTTTAGACGGTTTCCAGCTGATAGTTTTTTTTTTACCTACTCTACTCTTTGGTTCTTTCGGTAAAGTCACGTAGGTATAAAATGAAATAAATTAAATCACGACGTTTCCACATCTACGACACTTCTGCTTTTTCAGTCGAGGAAATTTCAGAGCTGACAGGGTTGGTTTGCAATCTGTTACTCGCCATCTCTCTCCCAAACAATGGTGCACGTGGCCGTATTCTTCATATTAGCTGACGCACTTTTTCCCCGCTGCGTTCTAAAAGCAAAAGTTGGGGGTTTGTCTTATAAATCCGGTAGATGTGTGCAATGTGTGTGTGTGTGCCTGAGACCGGATTTGTAGAACTGCATTGGCGCCGATCACGAGTTTGGAGTGAGTCTTATTTTCCGGGGCATCTTGTAAATCCGGAGAGTGCGGTGAAATCCAATTTGAAACAATCCCGCTGCTGCCCTTCACAAGTGTGAGATTCAAAGAAAGAGCACCCGGCGGCGTGCGATTGCGGAGGAAACTCTGACTAGACCGTCTACCGCACGTCGAACCCTGCTGTGAACCCCGAACGTTCAAAGGAAGGAGACTTCGTGGCGATCCGCTCGCTCGCCGTTCACCCAGTGGCGGGTCGCTGCCGTGGGGTGAACGGTCAGCACGCCGGGCTCGCAATTCTGAGGTGGCCCGTTCGATCTCCCGGCGCGACCAGAGGTTTAAACAAATGGCCAAATATCTGATAATTGCCCCCTCCCCACCCTTTGTCCACACAGCGGTATGAATGCGTACGCAAACAGTTAGTCAATTAGCAGGTTGTTGCGTGGTGGGGGGGGGGGGGGTGAAGCGCGGGTGCTTCCACCTTGCTCACGACATCCGACCGATTCCGGGAGGAGTAGGCTCTTAAGGGCTCGGCAGAGCTCCCTCTAGGCAGAGGCTCGTCCGCCAGCGGCGGTGGCGTGAGCCACCGCCGCTGCGGAGACTGCGCCTCTTTGGCTTTGTGTTCAGCGGCCCACGCACAAGCGACAAGGCTTGCAATGGTCACCCCACGTCGACCGTTGTGACGCCGTGGACGAAGACGTCGCCTCGTCCCCCCACGGTGTGCACGTCTGTGCCTGGGCGCCACTGAGGTGGCTGTGAGATGTGAACTGCCTCGCCCTGGCATGCAGGAGGTCGTGGGTTCGGTCCCGTCCCTGACGCTTTCTGTGTATTTTGAGTTTGCGTGTTTTCTCCCCCGTCGTGGCACGGATTGTTTTTTTCCTTCGGTACTCCAGTTTTTCCCTCCAACATTGAGAAACATGCGTTTGGAGTGTTGGGCCGATTTTATACATTTCCACTTGATAGAGCCACTTTGTTGAGCTATCATTTTTGGCCAGGTTGCTTGCGAATAAGAGCTATGCAGCTCGGTGGGCCTCACCTGGTAAAATAAAAAAAATAAAAAACATTGCCGGGCCGCCAGACGATTTATAAATCTTGCTGTCCGGCAACTTGGGGCCGATGATGCTGCTGCACCCAAACTGGAGCCGGCAACGACAATGCAGGCAACGACAATGGCAGCGAACTGCAGCCGGGGGTGGGAGCAAAGTTAAACTTGGAGAGAGAAGCAGGGCGTGGGGACTGACTCGGGAGAGAGTCACTGAGTGAGTACAAGGAACCAAAGATTCCCTCCCCCCTGTTGGGGTCCATTGCTGTTAGTGAGTGTCTATTAAGGGAGGCGCACGCACACAAAATGGAAGGTGTGGCTGGCTCCGTTGTCCCAGATGCCTGGCTGCTTTTTTTCTGCCGCGACATAAAATCGATGCAGGCCACTCCACCGCGCACAGTTGCGTAGCTTCTCGATCTTGTCCGCTAGCGCCGATTTGATGGCGGCGCAGAACGCCATTGGGCGACTCGGCTGGCGTCACGCATGGCCGACCTTCTTTGTCACTCCGAGTTCTGATCGTTCACCTCTCCGTAGCAACTATTTATCTCTGGGCCCAGTTGGCCTCTTTTTATTTTACCAGGTGTAAGGCCCACCGAGCTATATGTAGCTCTAAATTCGTAAGCAACCTGGCCACAGATGACGGCTCAACGAAAGTGGCTTATGCGGACATTTATAGCAACCAAAGACTCTAAACGCGTGGCGATTCTAAATGTGGAGAGAAAAACCGGAGGAAAAAACAAAACAAAATCCTCGCTGCCACGGGGAGAAACATGCAAACTCGAAATATGCAGGGGAACGTGGTTGGGATCAAACCCACGACCTCCAGCATACCAGGCAAGGGAGTTGACATCTCGCCACCGCGGTGCCCCAACCTTGGTGAGGCAATAGCCGATGTGAAATGACCAGCAGCGGCGGAGCTTCAGTGAGCAGTGCGCTAATCACCATGCCACCACTCCCCACACACAGCAGCAGCCACCGTTGAGTTGCAAGCAGTGTGAGACGCCACTTGAGATCGTGCCAGGCTTGGGGGGGGGGCCGTCCATAAATGACGTCACGCACCTAGGGGGTTGGGGGGGGGGTCAGACATTTGTGACGATGTGTGACGAGGGGGGGGGGGGGTTGAGAAACGTGACGTCGCATCAAAATGCGCAACTTTAAATAAATATAGACAGCACGTTCTACTTAAATAAATATACTTTTTAATAAATGTTTTCTCCTACAACATCAGAGTGCAGCACCACATTAAATACGCACTACAATGACAATAGTTTAAAGCATGTTTTTTTTTGGGGGGGGGGCAGAGCTTTGTGACGTCATATTTGAGGGGGTGGTCTGACTTTTTGTGACGCCGCGTGACGAGGGGGTGGGGGGGGGGTCAAAAATCGTCCAAAATCGCGTGACGTCATTCATGGACGGCCCCTTGGCACGTGTTTAAGGCCACATAAGAGTAATGGCTTCAACGTTTTTGTGGTCGATTTATTATTGAAGACGAATATGCCATCCCATGAGGTTTCTTATTCGAGGCCGTGTTAACATGGGGGTGGGGGGGCGGAGGTCCAGGCCAGTATCGGATAACCTACTGCCAATATTACCATCTTTGGCCAGAACTTAAACCCAGTTTGCCAGAATTGTGAGAGAAGTGCTCCAACCACTTCAACACCCACCTTGGCCAACAACACTGTTTAGTCTTACAGACTCGGGGCACGAGCTGTTGGCGAGTGCCTATTAAAGCCACGCGGAACACGGGTGAGCAGTGAGGCCAAATAACCTTGCCGTTTTGACTTCATCAAATGGTGACGTTGATCACGTCGCATAGCCAGTGGGTACACCGTTTAGGCGGAGTTGACATAGAGGAGGCCCAGAATTGGATCACGGTTTTGTTTGGCCAGGATATCAGCAACTTATAAACATGCGTTTAGAGTATTTGGCTGCTATGCATTTCCACGTGAGAAGCCACTTAATTGAGCTATCATTTGTGACCAGGTCACTTTTGAATAAGAGCTATATAGCTCAGTGGACCTTGCCTGGTAAAAAAAAAATATTTTAGTTTATTAATACAGTATTAAAAAAAAATTGTGTTTTTTAAATAATATATTGTTATCGGATTACCAAGGCAGGGAGGCCTTGCCTTGCCAGAACGCCGCTACTCTTGACAATTAATTTGCGTACATTTCAAAGGAAGAATAAGAACACGAAGGAACGAGTAGGGGATGAAGGCATCAGCTTGGGGGGATGCGATGTCGTCGGCAACCGGGGCGCCCACGTCACACGTGGCCACATCTAATGTGAACCACGCCTAATCGTCAAAGTAATCCAATTACACGTCAAGGGTCCCATCAAACGTCTCGCTCTCTCGCTCTCTCTCTCGCTACTCAAGCGATCGGTCACATGGTGCTGTGCCCTACTATTAAATTGGCGGTACAG